CGGGAGGCTGGGGTAGATGAATCACTTCACCCCAGGAGTTGCAGGTTGCAGTGAGCTAGAATTGCTCCACTGCACTCTAGCCCAGCCTAGGAGACAAAGTGAAACTCTGTCTCAAAAAAAAAAAAAAAAAAATTCTAGCGTTATGGTTTGTATAATGTTGACTCTTAATCATACCAACAAACACTTACCTAATTGTTATTACCTGCCAGTGTTCTGAGGATGTAACAGGAATTATTAAGTCATGTAATTCTCAAAACATACCTATGAAGTAGGTTTTATGATCATTACTGAGTTACAGAATAGAAAACTGAGGGCAGAGGGAAGTTGAGTAGTTTGCACAAGGTTACATTGATTATGAGTGACAGAGCTGGGATCTAAATCCAGGCAGGCTATCTCCAGAGTCCAGTCTCTTACCCAACTTTGCACTGCCTCTCATTTGATAGAGGAGTGTAATTGTGCCAGTTTTGAACACTGAGATCTGCATGGTATTTTGGCCTAGTTTTTGCCTGCCTGAAGTTTAGTGGGCTGACCTGATCATCGGACATGCAATAGCCAAGGCAGACCATATGTAGTCCACATTTGGAAGCCAAAGGCAGATAGTCATGCTGGGATGATTGCATCAGTTTCAGACAGGGTGCCACTGTCATGAACAGATGTGCCTGATTATGGAATCTTCCCTTTGGAAAGGTTCTTAAAGGGCAACCAGCCTATCCTCTGACTCACTGGTGCCAGTGGATGTGGTATGGAAGTGGGTGGCTGGGGTCTTTTCCTATCTGGACTCTCTCACTGCTTCTCTAACCTTAGTCTGAAGTACAGTCAAGCAGGTTTTTGCCACCACCTCCCCTGTTCCTAGTAGAATGCAGTCTGGGAGCAGGCACGGGATGTGGGCTCATCTTCCTCCAGAGCGTTCTCTCCTGGCTTTGTGCAACACCAAATTCATCCTCATCCCGACCCTTCACGTTGGTGGTAAACACCTCGCCTAGAATCTTACTTGCGTTCCAACCCAAAGAGATTAAATCTCTCTGGACAGTATTCTTCTTTATAAATAAATGGTTAATTTATTTATTTTTATAGCTCCTGCAATTTAATTAAAAAATTGACTTTCAGTCTGCAAAACTGGCCTCTGCTTAATTAGATTCCATGGATCTGTCCTGAAAGGTATAAATCTTTTTTAAAAATAATTGTTACTAAATATACTGCTATGATAAATAAATTACTCAAACCCTTTGACGTAGAGAAAAGAACGGGTGGGGGAGGAGGTTATTTGTCTGTTTCTGTCAGCTCCATTTTTGTTCCAGGCCCTGGCCTTGTTCGGGGCTGGCTGGGCGGGGGTTCCCTCTGCACAGCCTCCAGCTGGCCCTCCCACCCGCCTGCTGAGCTGCCTTCTCAGCCCGCCCCACTCTTCCAGGGGCGTCACGTGGGCTGATGAGATAATGTACGTGAAAGCCGTTGTCAACTGCAAGGCATAATTGAATGCCAATTATTATTGTTATTCTTACCATACTCTGGGGAAACCCTGTGGCCCCCATCCCTCCCAAACGTACTAGGCGGGACAGCCCGGGAAACTGAGAGGCTAGACTGCCCCTCCCATGTGGGCGGAGGTTCCTGGCACAAGACGGTCTCCGCGGCCTGCGGGGAGGGCTTTATTGCTACCCTCCTGCCCCCTCACAAATGGCTTTCCCAGTTCTTCCTGGCTTCAGGGGCCTTCCTCCGGAAGGAAATCTCCTTAGTTCCAGTGAAAGTTCTCGGGCCGCTGAAATTATCGACTCCTTAGGCCCCTCCTCACCTCCGCCGCACAGCCCCTTCCCCTCCCGGTGCCCACAGTGGAGCCAGGCTGCCTCGGAAGGATCTGACCGGCAATTTCCTAGAATTGTGCTTCTGGAGCTCCTCAGTCGTCCACTCCCTGCCCCTCTTCCCCACCTCATTTAAGACTCCTCTCCCCAGAGCCCAACTCCCGGTAGCTGTCCCAGCTCCACCCTGATCTAACTTCCTAGGCCTCACAGCTCTCTTTATCATAGCCAGTCTCTTCAGGGGCTGTCTACTACCCTTGTGGGGGGGAACTGGGGCACGGGAGGCTACAGGGCCACCAGGGCCCATCAGGAAGTTCAGTAGCTGTGGTTGACAGGACAGCCACTCTTGGTAAGGCCTTCCCACTGCTGTTCATCCGTGGCTTGGCTGGTGAGAGGACTGAACCATGTCTGCTCCCTCTCCCAATAAATTGAGCCTGACTGGGGCCAAAAAGGGTGGGTGGGAAGCACAAAACAAGAAGAGTCACTGGACAGGAGGGGAGCAATTTGTCTTTTCTTCATCCCGAACTGCCAGCTGTGTACCAGGCAGTAGTGCCACGCCACACCTCCAAGCTCCCAGTGGCCAGCCTACATCCAGGTCCTACAGGGTGGACTCCAGGAAGAGGCCTGGGAGGTCAGGGTAGAGGCCTGCCTGCACTTGATGGATGGTCCTGAAGAAATGTCTGGCACTTTCCTCCCCCGTGGGGGCGGTGGAGCTGCAGCCACCTCTCCCCTGCATTCCTGCCTGCCTGCCTCAAAAGGAGGGGGTGAGGGGTGGGTCCAGCAAGGAAACCAGGGCTCCTGGCCCAGCTGAGAGGCATTTTGCAAACTATGACTCACATTTGTCTACACTGACATGGGGAATGGAGGAGCAGGTGGACAATCCCTAAATTTCACCTGGGTTGAAAGGCATCCATATGTTCCCACCCGACTCCCACTTCCTCCCCAGCTCCCAGGACTCTCCATTCAGTCCATATTAATTATCTGATTCCTACTGTATGCCAGCCATTGAGTAACATAACAGTTCTCAAGGTGTGGTCCACAAATCCTGGGAGTCCCCAATATTTTTTCAGGGCATAGATGAGGTCAAACGATTTTCATAATAATTCTAATATGTTATTTCCCCTTTTGACAGAGTTGACACATTGCATAGAAGTGCAAAAGCAATGGGGGCAAAACTGCTGTGGCTTTACATAAATCAAGGCAGTAGCACCCAATTAGTATTGCATGCATTCTTCACCACTGCACATTGAAAAGGCTAGTTTCACATAAAAATGTTCTTGATAAAGCAGTCAAAAATTATTAACATGTAATGGGTTTATTATTGTTATCTTATATGAGTTAATAAATAAGGATTTGTGGCCGGGTGCAGTGGCTCACGCTTGTAATCCCAGCACTTTGGGAGGCCGAGGCAGGCGGATCACGAGGTCAGGAGATCGAGTCCATCCTGGCTAACACGGTGAAACCCCATCTCTACTAAAAATACAAAAAATTAGCTGGGCGTGGTGGCGTGCACCTGTAATCCCAGCTGCTGGGGAGGCTGAGGCAGGAGAATGACGTGAACCTGGGAGGTAGAGCTTGCAGTGAGCCAAGATCACGCCACTGCACTCCAGCCTGGGTGACAGAGCAAGACTCCATCTCAAAAACCAAAAATAAATAAATAAAAAATAAATAAGGATTTGTTTTAATATCTACTATGGCAAATATCAATAGATATTCACATAAACAAAAGCTCTTTAGGTCCTTAATACTTTTTTTTTTTTTTTTTTTTGAGGTTGAGTTTCACTCATTTTGCCCAGACTGGACTGCAATGGCACGATTTCAGCTCACTGCAACCTCTGCCTCTTGGGTTCAAGCAATTCTCCTGCCTCAGCCTCCTGAGTAGCTGGGATTACAGGCGACCACCACCATGCCCAGCTAATTATTGTATTATTATTATTTTTTTTGAGATGGAGTTTCGCTCTTGTTGCCCAGGCTGGAATGCAATGGCGCGATCTCGGCTTACCACAACCTCTGCCTCCCAGGTTCAAGCGATTCTCCTGCCTCAGCCTCCTGAGTAGCTCAGACTACAGGCACGGGCCACCATATCCAGCTAATTTTTCTATTTTTAGTAGAGACAGGGTTTCCTTATATTGGCCAGGATGGTCTCGAACTCCTGACCTTGTGATCCACCCGCCTCAGCCTCCCAAAGTACTGGGATTACAGGTGTGAGCCGCTGCGTCCGGCAACTAATTTTGTATTTTTAGTAGAGACTGAGTTTTTCCACGTTGGTCTGACTGGTCTCAAACTCCTGATCTCATGTGATTTGCCTGCCTCAGCCTCCCAAAGTACTGAGATCACAGGCGTGAGTCACTGTGCCTGGTGTTTTTTTTTTGTTTTTTTTTGAGACAGAGTCTCCCTCTTTTGCCCAGGCTAGAGTACAGTAGTGCCATCTTAGCTGACTTCAACCTCTGCCTCCTGGGTTCAAGAGATTCTCCTGCCTCAGCCTCCCCAGTAGCTGGGATTACAGGCACATGCCACCACACCCAGCTAATTTTTGTATTTTTAGTAGAGATGGGGTTTCACCATGTTGGCCAGGCTGGTTTTGAACTCCTGATCTCAGGTGATCCATCCGCCTCAGCCTCCCAAAGTGCTGGGATTACAGGCATGAGCCACTGTGCCCGGCCAATAATAATAATTCTTTTTTTTTTTTTTTTTTGAGACAGAGTCTTGCTCTGTCGCCAGGGCTGGAGTGCAGTGGCCGGGTCTCAGCTCACTGCAAGCTCCGCCTCCCAGGTTTACGCCATTCTCCTGCCTCAGCCTCCCGAGTAGCTGGGACTACAGGCGCCCGCCACCTCGCCCGGCTAGTTTTTTGTATTTTTTAGTAGAGACGGGGTTTCATCGTGTTAGCCAGGATGGTCTCGATCTCCTGACCTCGTGATCCACCCGTCTTGGCCTCCCAAAGTGCTGGGATTACAGGCTTGAGCCACCGCGCCCGGCCAATAATAATAATTCTTAAGGGTGTAAATGGGTCCTTAAACCAGTTTCAGCACTGCTGGGCAATTCATAGGCTGTTACTACTCTCAGAGCCTGCATTCCCAGCTTAAGAATCGAGTCTTTTTTTACTTCTCCTTCTAGGCCCTTGTAGAACAAGAAGCGAGAGTCTTATTTGAAGTAGAGAGTGGAGAACTGACTGTTTTCTGGCAACCCTCTCTCCCTCAAGAAGAGACACTGTCACTGGAATAAAGATTTTAATTGTCTCTGCTCACAGTAGAAGCAAGGCATACAGGCCCCCAACCCTTCTGTGCCACCCCTCTTCTCCCCTGTGCACTGTGTCTACTGCTGCGTGGAGGGGGTTGGGGAATCAGGTATTGTGGGCCAGGCCCAGATGTGGGCTCCCCTGCCCTCACTTCACCTAGTCTCTGTTCATGTTCCCCTTCAGGTGACTATTTCTCCTCCCAATAAGTCACAGGGTAGCAAGGCTGAGGGAGGAGAGCATGGGGAGGGGAGGGGAGCAGGAATCCACAGCCCAGCCCGGCCTGAGTCCAGGTGGAGAGCAGGTGCATGTGCCTGTGTGTGTGTCCCTGTGCATGGCCGTGGGCTTGGCTCAGCCTGTAAGCTCTGAGATCCCCCCATGCCAGTCCCCTCTCAGAGGTCCTATCTGGTGTCTTCACTGGGGTCAGCACACCTGAGCTATTCAAACGACTTCCATCCTTTGGTGATGGGGCTGCTGTGGGCGATGCTGAGGCCTGGCACCTCTGTCGCTTCTGGCACAGGGTAGGGAGGTGTGGAGGGATAGGAGAGGAGGCAGGTCAGCCTCGGGTGCTACTCCCCCGCTCCCCCAGGAGCCAGTAGGTCCGAACCTTGCCTTTGCCCTGGAGGGAAAAAGAAGAGGATGGGCTGGGGAGTGGCACATGCCCTTTCCCCCGTCAGATGAGAGGCTTAGGGATGGGAGTGGTGTTGGCTGCTTGAGAAGGGTAACTCCTTCTAGGACCCCAAAAGGTGGGGAGGACAGAGGCTTCCCCCTTTACCTTCATTTCTACATCCCCTCGAAGCTCCAGCTCGAAACCACCAAACTCCTCCAGGACAGCCTTGGTCTCAGAAGACAAGTGGATCTTCAGGGCTAGGTAGGACAGGGGAGAACGGAAGGTGAGCAATGTGAGACAGGAGAGTAGGAAAGTAGAGGCAAAAGAGACCAGGGACTGTGGGGGTGGACAGGTACCCTCTCTCCCTCTTTTCCCTCTCTAGCTCAGAGCGGCCCCACTCCCTGCATGTAGTGCATGACATTAGCCTCTCATTTAGAACTCTGGAGCTGTGTAATCCAATACAGTAGCCACTAATCACGTGTGCCTGTTTCAACTTAAATTAATTTAAACTAAATACAGTTAAAAATTCAGGCTGGGTGCTGTGGCTTACACCTGTAATCCCAGCACTTTGGGAGGTTGAGGCAGGAGGATCACTTGAGGCCAGGAGTTCAAGACCAGCCTGGCCAATATGGCGAAACCCCATCTCTACTAAAAATACAAAAATTAGCTGGGTGTGGTGGCTCACACCTGTAATTCCAGCTACTCAGAAGGCTGAGGCAGGAGAATCACTGGAACCTGGGAGGTGGAGGTTGCAGTGAGCTGAGATTGCACCACTGCACTCCATCCAGCCTGGGCGACAGAGTGAGACTCTGTCTCCAAAAAAAAAAAAAAAAAAAAATCAGGGCCTCATTTGCACCCATCACATTTCCAGTGATCAGTAGCCACATGTGCCTAGAGGCTACTGCATTGGACAGCACAGAATACAGAGCATTTCCATGACTGCAGGACATCCCGTTGGACAGCACTCTGGAGTGTCACTGGGCTCAACAGAGCATAGTGCTTAGGAGCTGGCAATTTGGATCCTGCACTGCCTCAGTATGAACCTCAGCTTGGATACTTGCTTGGGTATGTAATATAAATTCTCTCTGCTCCTTTTCCTAATCTGTAAAATGCTGATAGTGTCAGTATCTATCTCAAAACCTTGTTGTGAGGATTAAATTCAACATCCATAAAGTATTCAAATGGAATGTGCTACCTAGGAAGCACTATGTAAATTGTTGCTTTCACGATTTAATAATTTTTTTTTTTTTTTTTTTTTTTTTTTTTTTTTTTTTTTGAGACGGAGTCTTGCTCTGTCGCCCAGGCTGGAGTGCAGTGGCCGGATCTCAGCTCACTGCAAGCTCTGCCTCCCGGGTTCACGCCATTCTCCTGCCTCAGCCTCCCGAGTAGCTGGGACTACAGGCGCCCGCCACCTCGCCCGGCTAGATTTTTGTATTTTTTTTTTAGTAGAGATGGGGTTTCACCGTATTAGCCAGGATGGTCTCGATCTCCTGACCTCGTGATCCGCCCGTCTCGGCCTCCCAAAGTGCTGGGATTACAGGCTTGAGCCACCGCGCCCGGCCTGATTTAATAAATTATACCCTCATTTTGTGGCCGAGGACCTGAGGCCCAGGGTGATCTGCCCAAGTGGCTGAGGAGGTCAGTGATGGAGTGGGGCCCAGTATTGCCACACCCTCTCTTTAACCACTGTCTGAACTCACGTCCTTACTTCTGGGGTTTGCATCAATCACAGTGGCCTTGTGTTTAACAGTTTCTTTCTTTTCTTTTCTTTTCTTTCTTTTTTTTTTTTTGAGACAGTCTCTCTCTGTTACCCAGGGGTGCAATCTCGAATCAGTGCAACATCCACCTCCTGGGTTCAAGTGATTCTCATGTCTCAGCCTCCTGAGTAGCTGGAATTACAGGCACACGCCACCACGCCTGGCTAATTTTTTGTATTTTTAGTAGAGACAGGAGGTTCACCATGTTGGCCAGGCTAGTCTCCAATTCCTGGCCTCAAGTGATCTGCCTGCCTTGGCCTCCCAAAGTGCCGGGATTACAAGCGTCGCTGGCACCCAGAATGTTGAACAATTTCTGGCAATGTGCTTCTTGAGGCCTGGACCTCAGCAAGGGGCTCTACTCTGACAGCTCCCAAAACAGTGCCCAGGGAATATCTGCCGAACTAGATCCCTCTGGGCTCCCAGGACTGGCTCCCAAGCAGCCTTTCTTTCACCATAAGGTTTAGATGGGGTCCACGTGAATTTCTCAGCTAACTCTGGGTCTGGATCATGTTACTATCCAAGGGCCTGGCATTCAGTAGTCACTCAATAAATGTTTACTGCATTGAATTATGTCGAATACAGCAGGAGGACAGAAGATAAACAGGAGGCAAGAGCAAGGGGTGGGTGGGAGCAAGAATTTATTAGGTGCCTACTGGGTACCAGGGTTTGTGCTAGGCTTCTTGCAATCCTGAGATAGACATCATTTTACAGATAATCAGCTAAGGCTTAGAAAAGTTAAATGACAATTATGTGGTAGACATTTTTTATGGATTTCTCACATAACCCCTGTGAGGTAGATTTTTTCCCCTCATTTTACAGATGAGGAAAACCATGGCTCAGAGAGGTATAGCAAACTGACACACAGCGAGCTGTGGAGCTGAGATTCACAGCCAAGTATGCTGGCTCTGAAGCCATCTTTACCACATCAAAGGTGGAGCAGAGGGTTTTTTCTCAGACAGAGTTTCACTCTTGTTGCCCAAGCTGGGGTGCATGGTGCCATCTTGGCTTACTGCAACCTCTGCCTCCTGGGTTTAAGCAATTCTCCTGCCTCAGCTTCCCGAGTAACTGGGATTACAGGCGCCTGCCAGCACGCCTGGCTAGTTTTTTGTATTTTTAGTAGAGACAGGATTTCATCATATTGGTCAGGCTGGTCTCGAACCCCCGACCTCAGGTGATCCACCCACCTCGGCCTCCCAAAGTGCTGGGATGACAGGTGTGAGTCACCGCGCCCAGCCCACAGAGGGTCTTAAAATAGGATTCCTGCTGGGAACTCTCCAACACTGGTCTGGAAATACTTTTACATCGTTTGACAAGAGGGGCAGCAGGAACCTGAATCTCTGATTACAGTCAAGGTGATGAGCCCAGGTTGAACTATTTATATTATGAGAAGGGGAACCTGGGAGGCTAAAGGGCTAGGAGCTGAAACGGGCTGTGCAGGCACAGGCTGCCCCAGGGTGGCATTTCCCTTGGCCACCCTGCCCTCCCCATTCCCTCTAGAAGGGGGCACTGTACCTTCCCCATTAGACTCCATTCTTGAGGCTGTGTTGACTGTATCTCCAAAGAGACAGTAACGGGGCATCTTCAGTCCCACCACTCCAGCACACACGGGTCCTGGGAGGAGCAAGGGAAGGAGCAGAGCCCACCAGCGAGTGAGGGAGGGAGAGGTGTTAAGGGAGGTAGGTGGACAATCCAGGAGAGGCAGGAGGCAGGATCTGAGGTCCCAGCTGTGTGTGTGTGTGTGTGTGTGTGTGTGTGTGTGTGTGTGAGAGACAGAGAGAGAGAGATGAAAGGGTGAGGGGCTGGGCCAGGGGACAAGTTCCCCTGTGAAGCCTTGGCCTCTGGATGCCCGCCTGCACCTTCAGTGGCTTTACCTGTGTGGATGCCAATGCGCAAGCGCAGCTGCTCCTGCGGCCGGTGGCGGATTCGGAAGGAGCGCACAGCATCCAACAGAGCCAGGGCCATGCGGGCTACCTCGCAGGCGTGCAGCCGCCCGTTCCGCACAGGGAGCCCCGACACCACCATGTAGGCATCGCCAATTGTCTCCACCTGTGGGAGTGGCAAGGGGGTGAAGGACTTGAGGGCTGCAACTGTGCGGCTAGCCACACCGTCACACTGGGTGCAGCATCTGTCATTCTGTACCCTCATCTATCTTTGCTCATCTCCCATCCCACATGGGTTCTCTACCTGTTCCCGGGTCTCCCTGTGTCACTGTCTCTGCCCGTGTCCCCTGGTCTCCTCTCTTAAGACTCCACATCATTCTGCCTACGCCTCATCTTTTTCTGACCTTGTCCATGTCTGTCTGTCCCTTCCCATCCCCACTCCCACCCTCACCTTGTACACATCAAAGTTATCTATGACAGCATCAAAGCAAGTGTACAGGTCATTGAGCAGCGTCACCACCTGGAAGGGAAGAGAAGCTAAGAGAGACAGGAAGTAGGGGACCCCACCTGGGGTCAGGTGGGTAAAGCAGAACCAGAAGGCAGGTCTGGTGGGATCCAGACACTGAACCAGGCCAGCGTGCTTACCTGGCACCTGCAGCTGAACCCCAGCCTACCTGCATGGGCGTGCTCTCCGCCGACAGTGCTGTGAAACCCACAATGTCACTGAAGTAGATGGTAACGCTGTCAAAGGCTTCGGCCTGCACTGTCTCCCCACGCTTCAGCTGCTCAGCCACTGAGCTAAGGGGTCAGGGCAGGTGCAGGATCAGAATGGGGTGTCGGGACAGGGGCTTTGTTTGTGTGGGGTCCCCAGACTCAGGCACTCACTGAGGCAGGATCTGGTAGAGCAGGGCCTCAGCCTTGCGCTTCTCCTCCAGGTACGCCTGGGTCCGCTCCTCCACCAGTTCCTCCAGATTGTTTGCATACTGCTCCATGCGGGACAGCAAGTTGTCTAGGATGTTGCTGCTGTTCTCTCTGGGGGCAGAGGGTGGCAGTGGGGGTGGTGAGAGAGGAGCAGCACAGCCTACCCGGGAGCGCCCACCCCTAGGCTCTCCCCTGGCTCAGGCTGCAGTGGGGTCTCTAGAGAGGCTCAGGGTTGAGGGCATAGCAGGATACTGGGGAGCAGGGGAAAACAAAAGGAAGAAAGTTCAATTCCTCTCTAAGACCCCAAGATCAAGTATGAAGCTTCAGACATATGGACATTTTGTTCATCTTTGTTGAACCCAGTGAGTTAGAAGGAGGTAGAGAAGGTGGAGAATGACAAGGGTCAATTGTGGACAAAGTGATGGCCACAGAAGGGTGTGTCTGGAGGAACTGGGCCTGGTGGGCACCATGGGGAATGGAAATCAAGGGCTGGGCCAGGAGCTCCCATGGAGGACCAAGAGCCTACAGGGCAGGAGGCAGGAGGCCCATCTACTCTACACACTGCTGAGAAGTCTAGAGGCCAGCAAGGGGAGTGGGCAGGAAGGGTGTGGGGTGTCAATGGTGGAGGGAAGGGATATGAATGGCAGGGGACTGGGGGGACAGCTGAGTCATGCTGTATTTGTGAAGAGGGTCGTGAGGCTGTGGTGGTCTGGAGCAGACTATGTATAGGGAGGAGGTGAGTGGTCTTCCTCTGCCACTGCTGGGATAAGCCAGAGCCAGAAGCGTTGGGTAAATGGCAGCTGTGGAGGAGGGGCCTGGGGGATCCATGACAAACACCAGGGACCTGTTAAACTTGCGCAACGTCAGGCGGATCTGCTGGAATGGTGGCCTCTCCTGTGGGTCCTCAGCCCAGCACCGCTGCATCAGCAGTCCCAACTCCTCCAGGTGACTCTGCAGGGCCAGGGAGGGCCGGAAGGGGGGCTGCTCACCCCGAGTCACCCGCTCGATGATCTCTGTATTGGGGGGTAGGGGAGCTGAGGGGTGGGGCCACTAGGCCAAGGGCCTAGTGAGAGACTGGGACAACCAGCTGGGATGGCAGGGGAAGTCCAAGACCAAGGCATGGGGGCGGGGGACTGGTCACTGGCAGCAATGGGTCGAAGGGTGGTGACTGAGCCCCATTCCAGAAGGAAGATGTGGTGGTGCTGCCAGGGGACCCTCTCCCTGGGGCTGGGGTTCTTTGAGACTGTGGCCGGGGTTCTTTGAGACTGTGGCCGGGTTTAAGGAAGGCGTGGCCCTCTCACCTTTGGGGCTGAGGTCCAAACCTTCCACATGGAAGACCCCACTCCTCAGGGCAATCTCCTGAAGGATGATCCCAAAGCTGTATATGTCACCAGCCTGGGAGCCCCGCACAGGGGGTGAAGCCATTCGCAGGAGCTCAGGGGCCGTCCACAGCTTTTCTGTGGGTCAGAGGTCGGTGGTCACCGAGTGAGGGAGCCCAAAGCTAAGGGGTGAGGGGGAAACAAGGATGTGGCCGAAACTGATCTGGATGCATCACAGAGTGTTAGAGCTAGAGGAGGCCTTAGAGACCACGTTGTCTGGCTTTCCTTTTCATGGGTGAATGAATTGAGGCTGGAGTCAGGACAAGCATGCCCAAGCCCATCAGAGGCCTTGCATCAGTCTCCCTGCTGGGTGGTGCTGGGGGCAGGTGTTAGGGTTCAAGAGTCGAGGCTCACTGGCATAAAGGGTGTGTCCTTGTTCTGGGTCCAGGTCTCTGAAGCTCTCCAGCCCATAGTCGGTGATCTTGAGCACAAAGCGCCCATCTACCACGCAGTTGGATGACTTGAGGTTCCCATGGGAGCAGATAGCCCCATTGTGTAGAAACAGCATGCCCTGGAAACAGGAGTGGGCAGAGGTCTTGGCCATGAGTGGGACCTACACCCATGGCCAGGAGAAGCATGCCTGGCCCCTCCCCTATATCCAATAGGTGCTTAGGGTCATACCTTGACAATGTCATTGGTGAGCGAGTACCGGAACATCCAGTCCAGGGTGATGCTCTCATTCTCCAGAATGTCCTACTGGGGCAGTAAGAGTCAGACCAATCCCCTGCAGACCCCCCTGGGAGTTGGAGGAGGGTGCAGGGTCCTACTGATGAGAACTGGTAGAACAGGACAAAACTTTGGATTGGCTCTAGTGCCACTGCCCTCCCCCAACTCCCATTTTACACATGGAGCCAGAAAGGTCAGAAAGAGGGTGAGGCATGCCTGGGGTCTTATGGCCAGTCAGGGGCAGAGCCAGGGCTAGAATCCAGGTTTTTTGACACCCCTTGTCCACCTCACCTGCAGGCTCCCACGGGGACAGTACTCTGTGAGGATGCAGATATTGGGGGGGTCGGTGCAGGCTCCCACAAACCTGGTCAGGTGTTCATTCTGCACATCCCGCATCTGCAAGTGGGACCAGCATCCGGAGCTTGACAGAGACCTCACTCGTCACCAAGCTGCTCATTAGCCTCAGGGACCCTCATTCTTCTTAACTCCTTACTCATTTTCTGCAACCATCACTAGGATCTTCCCTGGTGATTCCCACCCATGTCCTTTAGCCCACCCTCCCCAGAATCTGCTCCTATTCCCTCTGCCTCCTAAGCTCTCTCTCCCCCAGGGACATCACATATGGCCCCTCAAGATTCCTCCAGGTTATCTCCAGTGGTCTCTTCTCCAAGCTTAGGATCCCCCCATCCCACCCACAAAATGAAGGTCCATCCCAGGGCTCCAGTCCCTGCCTCTTTCTTGGGGTACCCTGAGGTCCCTCCATAAGTAGTTCTGTTGGCCAGTCTCCCTTGTGTCCCCATGGGCCCCTTCTCCATGCCACTGCCTCACTCCCCACATTACATGCTTCAGTTCAAACAGGACTTTTCGTGTCAGCTCAATGCGTTTACGGTTCACACGTTTCACAGCCACGAGGTTGCCCTGGGCATGGAATGGAGACTGTCACTGTGAAGAGCATGGTCCCATGTCCTGGGAATTCCAGCTGCTCCCGACAGCCCATCCCTGCCCTCAAGACCCTCACTTGTTCCCAATAGCCCACCCCCAGGGCCTCCATCTGCTGCTCCCCACCAGCTTACTCCTTCCCTCAGAACCCCCCACCAGTCCTCCATCAGAGTACACTCCTGCCCCAGTCCCAAGGCCCAGTGATCTTTCCCCAGGCCCACCTTATAATATGCTGTCTTGGCAAAGACTTGGAACTGGCCCTCTGTGGTTAGCAGGGAGCCATAATTGGAGCCTCTCTGAAAGGAGAGAGAGCAGGAGGAATGGTCAACCAGTGGGCCCAGTCTGCATCCTGATTGCTTGTGCTCTGGTCTTTATTACCCTGCCTTATCCTGCCTTATCTTTGTGCCCTTTTTGTTGTTGGGTTTTTTTTGAGATGTAGTATTGCTGTGTCGTCCAGGCTGAAGTGCAGCAGTGCTATCCTAGCTCACTGCCGCCTCAGACTCTTGGACTCAGATGATCCTTTCACCTCAGCCTACAGAGTAGCTGGGACTACAGGCATGTGCCACCATGCCCGGCTAATCTTTGTATTATTTGTAGAGATGATGTCTTGCTATGTTGCCCAGGCTGGTCTTGAACTCCCAGGCACAAGCAATCCTCCTTCCTCGGTCTCCCAATGTGCTGGGATTGCAGATGTAAGCCACCGTGCCTGGCCCGCCCTGCTTTATGTTCCACATCATAAAATCTCCTCATTTGCTTTTTTTTTTGAGACGTAGTCTCGCTCTGCCGCCCGGGCTGGAGTGCAGTGGCCGGATCTCAGCTCACTGCAAGCTCCGCCTCCCGGGTTCATGCCATTCTCCTGCCTCAGTCTCCCGAGTAGCTGGGACTACAGGTGCCCGCCACCTCGCCAGGCTAGTTTTTAAAATTTTTTTAGTAGAGACGGGGTTTCACCATGTTAGCCAGGATGGTCTCAATCTCCTGACCTCGTGATCCACCCGTCTTGGCCTCCCAAAGTGCTGGGATTACAGGCTTGAGCCACCGCACCCGGCTGCTTTTTTTTTTTTTTTAATGTGTTTTCACAGGTACTGTCTCCTCTGACCTTTAAAAGAGCCCTGTGAGGGAGGCTCTGCAGCTGTAATCATCATCTGAAACAGTCTCGGAGAGGGACTATGAGTCGCTCAAGGTCACACAGCAAGTGAAAGCAGAGCTGGGACTAGAATCCTGCTCCCTTCCCTACCCCTCAGGCACTGCCCCTTGTACCTAGCTTTCCTTTATTGCCCCCCAACACAAACACTAGCGTTCTTACTCCGCTCAGGGTCAGCCGGCTGCCCGCACTCCGCAGGTGCCTCTCAAGGCTACTGGGCTCAACATCCTCCCAGCGCACCCGCCACAGCTCCGAGGCCAGTTCCTTCTCCAGCTGCATCTTCCTGGGGTACGAAGGTTGCATCTGAGCCCGTGGCTGAGCCCCTGACCCAGGGCAGGGTGCTCAGCAGCCCCTCCTCAGAGCCGTGGGACCACACCATGATGCGTGGTCAGAGATGGAGGGGGAATTGTATACTCTGGACCGAGAATCAGGATGGCTGGGGGAAATTCTGCCTCACTGGGGACCTTGGGGGAATCACCTCAATGTCCTTATTTGGGAATGAGGCCTCAATATCTATTTCATTCTTAACTATTATAAGAATGAAAAGAAAGTGTGTGTGAGGCCAGGTGCGGTGGCTCATGCCTGTAATCCCAACACTTTGGGAGGCCGAGGCGGGCAGATCATGAGGTCAAGAGATCGAAACTATCCTGGCCAACATGGTGAAACTCTGTCTCTACTAAAAATACAAAAATTAGCTGAGCCTGGTGGCATGCACCTGCAGTCCCAGCTACATGGGAGGCTGAGGCAGGAGAATCGCTTGAACCTGGGAGGCGGAGGTTGCAGTGAGTCGAGATCATGCCACTGCACTCCAGTCTGGCGACAGAGCGAGACTCCATCTCAAAAAAAAAAAAAAAAAAAAGAAAAAGAAAAAGAAAAAAGAAATAGTATACGTGGAAGTGCTTGGCATATATTTTATGTTCAACCAGCAGTGATTTTCTCTCCTCCTTCTTTGCTTTCGTATATCATTAACTCCTCCTGTACTTCATTTTAGCCTCCACTGGACAGCAGGAACAGGGCTCATTTAGCTCCCCTCTCCACTCTAGGTTGAGCACCTGGCACACACCAGGGCTCATCACCCTTCTCAACCAACATGGGCATGATCCCAAGGTTCAGAACATTGCTTCCCATCTGGCCTGCAAGAGTAGCAAGGGAAACCAGTCTACGCCCCTATGATGTCACGCATCAACTTCTCTGCTTCTTGGATCTCTCTGACTCTCCTTGGCCATTCCTATCCTTGTCTCCTCCCCTCGCCTGCCATTCCCTTCTCTTTCTCTCTCCTCTGGCTTTTAAGCCTCCTTTCTTCCTCATCTCCCTTAGTTTTCCCCTGCTGTCCGTTCACCCCTGTCCTCTTCCCTCTGGGTCCCCACCACCTCCTCTGCTATTGGTTCTCCAGGTCCTCCAGCCTCACTCAGCCCCCCACATCACAGCTCACCTGTATATGAAGAAGGAGACAATCAGAATGCTGAGCAGGGAGAGGCTGCCCACCAAAGCCAGCACCTCCAGGGTAGAAAGGTGATCTGCAGGAGAGAGTCCATATTGCAGCAAGAGAGATTTGGGTTAGACAGCAGGAGGAAGAACTTTCCAATAGTCCATCAGTGAACTGGGATGATGGATGAAGGGGAGAAAAAGGCAGGAATCATTCTCCAGGAAGCCCTCAGCGTGGGACAGGAGCACCTACTCAACTGTGCTTAGGGGAAGGATGCAGCATCTCCGGGATAGAGTCCTGGAAGGCAAGGGGCAGTCACCTTGGTTGCATGCTGGGTCTTCATTGTCAAAGCCACATTTGGGGATGTCAGGAGGAGGGTACCCCAGGGGCCAGTTCAGTTTGCGCCCTGACACAGCCACCAGCTCTTGGGAAGTCCCATTGTAGTTCAGTACAACCTAAGGGAGAGCAGGAGTGGTGGCTAGGCCAGGGCCTGTGGGGAAGGCCTGCTGTGCAGTGCAGCAGTCTTACCTCCCATCTACCCCAGCTCTGCTTCCAGAGCCTATATATATCTGGGTTGTCACCTGCTTACCAAGCCCCTGCTGCAACTGGAGACAGGACCTCATACCACACACATATTATTCAAGTGGAAACACCTGAAAACTATTAAGGGATTTATAAAGAAAACTCCATTTAGAACCCGATGTCTACACTCAGGGGGTTTATAATCTTGGTTGAAGCACCAACCAAGCACTGATTTTTCTCTACCTATTTTCTTGGTAGAAAACAGAAGGTAGTGTTCACCTCAGCCTACATTCCCAGGCCCAGTCCATGTGCCTCTCTTCCAGGAGGCCTTCTCTGGATGACCTGTCCCTTGCCACCATTGGCCTCAGCGCCTTCCTGTCCCCACTCGCTTGCAGAGTTATGTAATGTGCATCCTTCACCACCCTGTCTCTGCTGGGAGGTGGTCCTGCTGCCTCCTTTCGGGGCTCCCCGAGGGCAGGGCTGTGCTCCTTCCTCAGGCATGGGGCTCCCCAAGTGTGATGCCTGTGGGTCCCTATCATTCTGGTGGCTTCCCCAGACTGGAGCTGGGTCTGTTTTATCCAGGGCTCTCGTAAGTGTCCAGGCATGGTAGAATGGCTACAGGATAAACACGTGCCCTGGCAGGGCTGTGAGGGGGGAAGTGGGAGGGTGAGATGTCATTTGGAATTGGCACTGTCTTCTGGGTGCACAAACTTACCCTGAAGGCACCAGTCTCGGGATCCATATCCCAGAGGGAGAAGTCTGTTTCCCGATCGCCACTGCTATCAATTTTCAGGTATCCTGTCACACCTGAGGACATGGGGGAAGACGATTATGTTTGAGAGAATGGAAGTTCAGGGGTGCCCCACTTCATCTCTTCATTCTCTAATCTTTTTTGTCTTGCCTTCCAAACATATATGTATACAGAATGATAGTAAATGGTAAAAGGGCTGGGCACTGTGGCTCACACTTGTAATCCCAGCACTTTGGGAGGCTGAGGTGGGCAGATCACCTGAGGTCAGGAGCTCAAGACCAGCCTGACCAAAGTGGTGAAACCCTGTCTCTACTAAAAAAAGAAAAAAGAAAAAAGAATTAGACAGGCATTGGTAGAGGGCACCTGTAATCCCAGCTACTCAAGAGGCTGAGGCAGGAGAATCGCTTGAACCTGGGAGGCGGAGGTTGAAGTGAGCTGAGATCGCACCACTGCCCTCCAGTCTTGGGGACAGAGTGAGACTCCATCTCAAAAAAAAAAAAAAAAAAAAGAGGTAAAAGAATTCAGCGCCCAGCAGGGATGATTGAGATTGGACACTTAGTAGGACTTCTGAGGGATGGGCCTGAAAAAAAGCTGTGGAGGAAAAGGTTGGTGTGCATAGGTAACTGTGCTGCAGGGCAATAGGCTTCTCATGGCTTTACACTGGGCACCTGGGATTCATCCCCCAAGGCAGCCCATTCCAACCACCTCCAGGCCCTGACCTTGAAAGCTTCGGTTCCACATCCGCTGAGTGATGTTCTCCCCATCAGTAACAGTTCCCCCATGTGCCAGAGTCTCCGTCACTGCCTGGATATAGAGCAGGAGCCCATCGTGGAAGGATGCTGGGATGGTGTTCACCTGTAGGGGCAAACAGAGGTTGGCTGGGGTGGGCGTATGAAGGGTATGGAGGTGGGAGCTGTGGGGAAGGGAACGAGAGGCACTGGGATTTTGGAAGAGGATGGGAGAAAATAACACCGCTACATCACAGGGAGATTTTACTATTTAAATGATGCATTTGGATTAGCATCACGTCCTGAATCCTGCTAGGTAGACAGGGCAGGATGTATCGTCTCCATATTACTGATGATGACCTGAGTTTCAGAGGCTGAACTTGCCAGTGTCCTCCTCCATCATCTCGAGAGACATGGAACAATGGGAAGGGAGGGAAGGGGAGAACTGGGAATAGGGAAGGATGGAGGCTGGCAGAGGGTCGTGGAGTGGGGGCTGGAGGTCCACGCTGGAGGGTCCCGGGACCCCTTCTTACCAGGCCATCCTCCATGGTGAAGTTGAACTGCTCACGAGCCAGGTGTTTTAGCTGCTTCAGGAATTCCAAGTACTCGGGATTATCTGGCTCTTTATATGTAATGATTTTGGCAGCCTGAGGAAGGTGTCAGTGGAGAGCAGAGAGTTGGGAGCTGACTCTATCCCCTCAGTACTGTGGGGCCCCAACAGTCGGGAGCCCACCTCCCAGAGCTGCATTTCTGCTTAGCTCAAGGTCAAACTGGACCCTATGCCCTGCATGAAGTGATGCCCACTCCAAAGCAGGGGATCCAATGGGATGGCTTCTCCAAGTCCTGTCCAGGCTGTGGGACTTTATCCTCCTCCCGCCTCAAGCCATGTTCTTATCTTTTTAGCCTGCTGGTGCCAAAGCGCCCCTGTGCAGTCCCCTGCCCTTCATTGCTTAATTCCCAGTGAGCATCACCAACCTCTTTTGTTCTGTGAGTTACCAGGAGTGCATAAAGAAACAAATAGACAAAAACCTTTTTTCTGGAATTCTTTCAGACGCTGAGGGACACAGTGCCCAGAAATTATGTGCCACAAGCTGAGACAGCCTGGGCTTCAAACCTAGGTACTCACTTGAAAGGCCTGGCGGGCACTGACATCGTGTCCATCCCCTCTCTCCCAGGGCCTGCGGGGAGCAGGGCCCTGTCCACCTTGCAGGCTTTGCCCAAAGATATCCAGGTGGAAGAAAACGTAGTCCTCCCCACACAAGCCAGCTTCCAGGGCCAGGAGCATCAGGGTTCTGAAGGCGTCAGGGGAGCTGCAGATGTAGATAACTGGAGAAAAAGATGGGGAGTCAGAGGGAGAAGCCTAGGTACTGCGGGAGAGACAGGAGTAGGAAAGCTGGGGCATCCAGGGTAGGAAGTTTAGAGGTAGGGGGCAGGAGAGACCCAGTGAGAGTTAAGTGGTAACTCCCGGCTCAGCCTAGGCCACAGCAGGAGATAGACGAAGGGTGGAAGGAGAGGCGGGGGGGGGGGCGCGGGGAGGAAAGAGGGGAGGAGGGGGCGGAAGAGGGAAGGAACAGGTAGGGAGAGCGGGATAGTGGAGCTGAAGGTGGAGAAGGGTGGGGCCGGGAGGGCGAGAGGAGTGAGGGAGGGGGAGAAGAGAGGGGATGAGGAGCAATGGGAGGAGAGGATGAAAGAGGGGAGAAGGCTATAGGGAAGAGAGAAAATGCAGGAGGAAAAAAGGGACCGGAACCGAGCTGTACTAGGGTGGGAGGGAGTGAGTGGGGGTCGGCGAGGTGAGAGGATAGAGATGTGGTGAGGGTGGCGGAAGAAGAGAGGGAAATAGAAACTCAGCTGTACAAAGGACCGGGGAGCTGAGAGTGGAATGAAGAACGTAGAGGAGAAAGAAGAGTACCCGCAGACAAGAGAGGAAGTCTCGATACCTCCGGCGGGTCAGAGGGGAAGCCCTGCAGCTAAGCTGCGCGACGGGGTGTGCCAGCGTCTCACCTCGGCCTTTGCGCGGCATGGTCCGCAGCAGCCTGGTGTAGTGGCTGAGGTCGTCCTCGGCGAACTCCAGGTGGTCCACCGTAATATTGAGGCGCTCGCGGACCCGCATGAACAGCCCCTCCACGAGGAAGAAGCAGTGTTCTTCGTCACCCGGCCGGTAAGCGTAGAGCATGAGCGCTTGGCGCTCCCAGCCCAGCCGTCGGTGCAGCGCCGCCACGAAGTCCCCCAGCTTGGCGTAGCTGGGCCCCGCGCGGGTGGTCAGCGCATACTCGTCCTTGACACCAAAGCCCAGCGCCGGGGCGCCGGCGGTCAGCAGCGGGACCCGCCAGTGCGCGGTGAAGCGCCCCACCGGGGCGGCGGCGTACACGCAGCCGGGGCCCAGGAACGCGGCGGGGTTGTGCTCCCACTTGAGGTCCACCGCGGCCAGGGGCGCTGCGGTGTCGGAGCAGACGCCCAGCGCGTTCTCGCTGCTGCCCAGCACCGTGCGGACCGTCCAGCCCGGCAGCAAGTCGGGGCGCGCCTTCACCCGGGCCAGGGCCAGCTCCACGGCGGGTCCCACGCGCGCCCACGACCATGGGTACGAGGTGTTGGCCAGCGGCAGTACCACGGCTACCGTCAGGTTGCCCGCGTGGCTGCCCCGGAGCAGCAGCAGCAGCGGCGGCAGCAGCAGGAGCAGGAGCAGGCGCAGGCGGGAGCCGGCGGGGCGCCGGGGCTCCGGCATGGTCTCAGCGGGCACCGGAGCGGGCGAGCGCTCCCACCATGGCCTTCTCGGTCCCCACCGGCTCAGCGGCCGGTCCCAGGCATCAGGCGCGTCCCTATGGGAGGGAGCAGGAGCGGGAAGGGGGCGCTCACCCCGGGGCTTGAGGCCCCCTGTAGCTGCGACGGTCTGGGCCGAGAGCGCAAGGGGCGCGACGGAGGGAGGCGCGCAGGGCACCGCGGAGCAGGTGGGTGCCAGGAGAACGTCGGACCGGAGAGGACCCGAGTGTGAACAACTGGGCGTGTGCGTGCGTGTTAGAGGGAGAACAGTGAGAGAGAGAGAGAGAGAGAGAGAGAGAAAGGGTGCGAGCGAGCGCTTCGTGAAGAAGGATGGGAGAGGGCGCGCGAGGGAGGAAAGAGGAGTGTGTGTTTGTAGCGTGCGTGTGCGCCTGCCCCAGGGAGTGTGCCAGAAGGGGCGTCCGGCCGGCCCAAGTCTCCAGCTATCCGGAGGGAACCGTGGAGGACCCGAGCCAAGCTCCGAACCCTCCCTCCCAGCCGCTTCCCCTCCCAGACTCCGTGACTGAAGAGCCAATCCTGGATCTTTAACTCCTTCCTCCCCGCCGCCCAGCCCGCGCGCTTCCCGGTGGACCATCTTCCCGGGTCTCGGTCGCCCCACGCCTGCCTCCTTGGAGGACAGGACCTTCTGAAGGCGCGCCCTCGCCGGAATGGAAAGGAGGGCTGAACGGAGGGTGTGTGTGGAAGCAACCGGGTCCCCCCTTGCGCCCCACCTTTTCCCTCGCCCCACCTTATCCCTCGCCCCCTACCTGGTCATATCGGGGAAGAGTGAAAGGTGTGCTGGTTTGGGATCCTGGCAGGAAACTGTGTGAGTGCGTGGATGTGTGTGTTTGGGAGTGGGGTGGAAGGTGACGGGTTTCTGGAAAGTCCGTTAAAGTTGAAGGCGAGCCCAGAGTGCTTGTTACCCAGTCCTTCTATGATCCCCCTCTCTTTCCCTCCGTGCCACCTTCCAGATTGTGCAGATTAGCTGTGAAAAATAATCTGGTGTCAGGGCGGAAATAAATCTTTAGCGCCCAAATTGTAGGAAGATGGGGAGAGTGGGTAGGTGACTGGGAGGGAAGAAGTTCACACCTCAGGGCCGCCCCAAGGAAATAACTGTTTTGTGTTGAGGGTTGTTAAAATGAAGGCTATGGAAGATGTTGTTGGAAATGACCATTGAAGGCGTAAGTTGCGGGAGTGGGTTTTGGAGCACTTGACAGCTGGGCCCCCGGTGCAGACTGCTGTGGAATCAGTGTGCCCTCTAATGGTCATCAGGGGTCATTGACGGCATCGCAGCGCCAACCTCTCCAACGCTGCGCCTAAGCAGGACATGTAAGATCACCAAACTTCAGGTCAGCAAACATTTCCAGAGAACCTTTGGTGCGTCAAGCACGCACTAGGTGCCGAGGGCTTAAAGATGAATATATATAGTCCGTGCCTTTGAGGCGTTCTATTTGGGACAAATAACCGTAATGCAACATGCATTAAGCACTACAGGGGAGACATGGATAAATTGCTAAAGGACTCAGTGAGGGCTATTCATTCTGCTTGGATTGGGGCCAGAAAATCTCCAAAGAGAAATAATTCAAGAGGACAGAAGGATGAGAAAAGTATTCTGTGTAGACAGAGCAGAATTTTGAAGTATATTTCCTATATATGGAATTTTAGGAGACTTGAATATTCTTATTATCTGGAGCAAATTGTGGTCGATAGGCCAACTTGAGATGGTAGGCATGCTTTGGTTTGCATTCTCTCTGTGTATATTGTTTTTAATTCCCCACACTTAAAAATCATAAGATGGGGCCGGGCAAGGTGGTTCAAGCCTTTAATCCCAGCACTTTGGGAGCCAGGGTGGGTGGATCATGAGGTCAGGAGTTCAAGACCAGCCTGGCCAAGATGGTGAAACCCCGTCTCTACTAAAAATACAAAAATTAGCTGGACATGGTGGTGGTCACCTGTAATCCCAGCTACTTGGGAGGCTGAGGTAGAGAATTGCTTGAACCCGGGAGACAGAGGTTGCAGTGAGCCAAGACTGCGCCACTGCACTCCAGCCTGGGCAACAGAACAAGACTCCGTCTCCAAAAAAAAAAAAAAAAAAAAGTCATAAGATGGCACATGAATATTTGGATTTCTGACTTTTTTTTTTTTTCTTCCAAATATGGAGGTCTCTCTATGTTGCCCAGGCTGGTCTTGAACTCCTAGGCTCAAGTGATTCTCTTGCATTGGCCTCCTAATATTCCTGGATACCATGTGTGAGCCACCAGGCCCAACCTGGATTTCTGACTTTTCCTAAAATATTGGAAGAGCTGGCAATATATTGTCCTGCATCCCTCCATGAGCAACCAACCAGAACAAGTATCCATTATCTCCTTGAAATGAGTCTAGTTCATCATGGTTCCTAGGCACCCTGCTTCATTCAGGTGCATTACCTGCCTGGCTGTAGTAGGAGTCTGTGTTTTCAGCCCTGATCTTGGATGTAAGGCGTCTGCATGTAGGATGACTGAGGAAAAGAGGCAGGGAAAAGGGCAATGGAGGGAAGACTATGAAAGCTTTTGTGTGACAGGCATAATGTTCTTGTCCTGTGATGGAGATGGCGGGTTCCAGAGATTGTAGAGGTAGACAGCAGTTGGAGATGGGGAGATGTTTTGTAAGTAGAATCAGTTGAAATTTGGGAAATGAGGACATTATACAAATAACAGGTCTAGGTGACGTTGACCCCATTAGTTGAGAAGCTGAAGAAGGAGGTTTTGGAAGGATGATACTTTTAGTTTATTGGATGTGAGGTGCCTACAGATACTCAAGTGGAAGTGTCTGATAGGCCTTGGACTAGTGGAGCTGGAGCTCGGAAGAAATGACTGGACTAGAAATATAGTTTAGTAACTGAGCTCCTTTCAATAACGGTGAACTAGCCCTAAAGCTATAGACAACCAAAAGTGTTGGATGAAATACTTTTTTTTTTTTGACACAGAGTCTCGCTCTGTCGCCCAGGCTGGAGTGCAGTGGCGCGATCTCGGCTCACTGCAAGCTCCGCGGATGAAATACTTTTTTAAAAATCAAAGAACTGGCTGGACATGGTGGCATATCCCTGTAGTCCCAGCACTTTGGGAGGCGGAGGTGGGCGGATCACTTGAGGCCAGGAGTTCAAGACCTGTCTGGCCTTCATGATGAAACCCCGTCTCTACTAAAAATACAAAAATTAGTCAGGCATAGTCCATGTGCGGTGGCTCACGCTTGTAATCCCACACTTTGGGAGGCTGAGGCGGGCGGATCACCTGAGGTTGGGAGTTCGAGACCAGCCTGACCAACACGGAGAAACCCTGTCTCTAGTAAAAATACAAAAATTAGCCAGGCGTGGTGGTGCATGCCTGTAATCCCAGCTACTTGGGAGGCTGAGGCAGGAGAATCGCTTGAACCTGGGAGGCAGAGGTTGCGGTGAGCCGAGATCGTGCCATTGCACTCCAGCCTGGGCAACAAGAGTGAAACTCTGTCTCAAAAAAAAAAAAAAAATTAACCGGGCTTGGTGGTGCATGCCTGTAATCCCAGCTACTCGGGAGGCTGAGGCACAAGAATCAGTTGAACCTGGGAGGCAGAGGTTGCAGTGAGCTGAGATCGTGCCACTGCACTCCAGCCTGGGCAACAGAGCAAGACCCTATGTCAAAAAACAATAAATAAATACAAATAAAAATAAAAGAACTAATAAGATAGTGAGGTGAGGCACAGTGGCTCACGCCTGTAATCCTGGCACATTGGGAGGCTGAGGCAGGTGGATCACCTAAAGTCAGAAGTTCAAGATCAGCCTGGCCAACATGGTGAAACCCCATCTCTACTAAAAATACAAAAATTAGCCGGCGTGGTAACAGATGCCTGTAATCCCAGCTACTCGGGAGGCTGAGGCAGAATTGCTTGAACCCAGGGGTGGAGGTTGCAGTTAGCCGAGATCGTGCCATTGCACTCCAGCCTGGGCAACAAGAGTGAAACTGTCTCAAAAAATTAGCCGGGCTTGGTGGTGCACACCTGTAATCCCAACTACTCGGGAGGCTGAGGCACAAGGATCATTTGAACCTGGGAGGCAGAGGTTGCAGTGAGCCGAGATTGCACCACTGCACTCCAGCCTGGGCAACAGAGCAAGACCCTGTCTCAAAAAACAATAAATAAATAAGTAATAAATAAATAAATAATAAATAAATAATAAAAGAACTAATAAGATAGTGAAGCCAGGCGCAGTGGCTCACCCTGTAATCCTAGCACGTTGGGAGGCCGAAGCAGGTAGATCATCTGAGGTCAGGAGTTCAAAACCAGCCTGGCCAACATGGCAAAACCCCGTCTCTACTAAAAATACAAAAATTAGTCAGGCATAGTGGCGGGTGTCTGTAATCCCAGCTACTTGGGAGACTGAGGCAGAATTGCTTGAACCCAGGGGGTGGAGGTTGCAGTGAGCTGAGATCGTACCATTTCACTCTATTTCGAGCAAAACTTCATCTCAAAAAATAATAATAATTAAAAAAAATAAGATAGTGAGAAATTATTGGTGTGAGAGCACAAAAGTAAAGGAAAGTAGAGAAGTAAGCCCAGTAGTAGGGCTGATTTTACCTTGGGATCATTTGCTAATTTGGAATTAGTGGCAGAAAATACGCTGTGTGGCGCTGGTGAAGTCCAGGCCAGGTGTGGTGGCTCACACCTGTAATCCTAGCACTTTAGGAGGCCAAAGTAGGAGGATGGCTTGAGCTTAGGAGTTTCAGACCAGCCTGGGCAACAGGGCGTGACCCCATCTCAATTTTTTAAAATTAAAAAAAAAAAAGGGCCAGGCACGGTGGCTCATGCCTGTAACCTCCGCACTTTGGGAGGCTGAGGTGTATGGATCATGAGGTCAGGAGTTCAAGTCCAGCCTGTACAAGATGGTGAGACCCCATCTCTACTAAAAATACAAACATTAGCCAGGAGTGGTGGCACGCGCCTGTAAGCCCAGCTACTTGGGAGGCTGAAGCAGGAGAATCACTTGAACCCAGGAGGCAGAGGTTGCAGTGAGCCGAGATTACACCACTGCACTCCAGCCTGGGCAATAGAGGGAAACACACTCTCAAAAAAAAAAAAAAAAAAAAAAGGAATCCAAATGTCCCCAGAGGTAACCACCTTCATGTTTTGGGCTAGGATCTCAAAAGGCTGCACTCCTAGGGGCAACCTGGGAGTAGAATAAATAGAAAATCTAAGGTCCTGCTTGGTGGCTCACATCTGTAATCCCAGCACTTTGGGAGGCCGAGGTGAGGATCACTTGAGCCCAGGAGTTGGAGACCAGTTTACACAACATAGTGAGACCTTATCTCTACCAAAAATTAAAAAAATTAGTTGGGTGTGGAGACATATGCCTGTAGTCCAAGCTACTCTGGAGGTTGACACAGGAGGATCACTTGAGCCCAAGAGGTTGAGGCTTCAGTGAGCCGTGTTTATGCCACTGAACTCCAGCCTGGGCAACAGGAGTGAGATCCTGTCTCAAAAATAATAATAATCCAGACCCAAAACATTAAAAGACCAAAATTAAGAACCAATTGATAGATTTAATACTATGTTAGACTAAACTGAGGAGCAAGTAATGAATTGGAAGAAAGGACAGCAGAAACTACCTAAAATGAAGAATGGGTAAAAAGGAATGAAAAACATAAAAAGAGAGGGTAAAAGCCCTTTGCAGTGGCTCATGCCTGTAATCCCAGCACTTTGAGAATCTGAGGCGGGCGGATCACCTGAGGTTGGGAGTTCGAAATCAGCCTGACCAACATGGAGAAACCCTGTCTCTACTAAAAATACAAAATTATCCAGGCGTGGTGGTGCATGCCTGTAATCCCAGCTACTCAGGAGGCTGAGGCAAGAGAATCACTTGAACCCAGGAGGCAGAGGTTGTGAGCTGAGATCATACATTGCACTCTAGCCTGGGCAACAAGAGCGAAACTCCGTCTCAACAAACAAACAAAAACAAACAAAAAAGACCAGCTTTGACAGCATATAAAGTATCCCATCTCTAAATAAATAAATACATACATAAATAAATAAATAAGCCCGGGGGCAAGGGAGGTGGCTTATGCCTGTAATCCCAGCACTTTGGAAGACAGAGGCAGGAGGATCACCTGAGGTCAGGAGTTCGAGACCAGTCTGGCCAGCATGGTGAAACCCCATGTCTACTAAAACTATAAAAATTAGCCGGGCATGGTAGCATGTACCTATAGTCCCAGCTACTCAGGAGGTTGAGGCAGGAGAATCGCTTGAACTGGAGAGGCGGAGGTTGCAGTGAGCTGAGATGGCGCCACTGCACTCCAGCCTGGGAGACAGAGGGAGACTCCATCTCAAAAAAAAAAAAAAAAAAAAAAAAAAAATTTTAGCTCAGAGTGTTGTGGCCTGTGCCTCTGAGTAGTCCCAACTACTGGGGAGGCCGAAATGGGAGAGTCTGTTGAGCCCAGGAGGTCGAGGCTGCAGTGAGCTATGATGGTGCACCACTGCTCTCCAGCCTGGGCAACAGAGTGAGACCCTGTGTACAAATAAAATAATAGAAGAGAGGGTAAGAGACAAAGAGATTACTGGGGGAAAAGTCTAATACGTCTTTGGAGTTCAGGAAGGAGGGAAATAATAGGTAAAACTAATACTGGAAGATATAATAGCTAATAAATTATATAAATGGACGACAAACCTCAAGCCATTGATTCAAGAAGCTCAACAAACCTCAAGCAAGATTTTTTTTTTTTTTTTTTTTTTAAGACGGAGTCTCCGTCTATCGCCCAGGCTGGAGTGCAGTGGCGCCATCTCAACTCACTGCAACCTCCACCTCCTGGATTCAAGATTCTCCTGCCTCAGCCTCGCGAGTAACTGGAATTACAGGCGCCCGCCAGCACAAGCCACCGCACCCGGACCTTTTTTTTTTTTTTTTTAATTAATAACATTTATTTTAATCTGGATGGTGGTTATGTGGACAGAATACGTTTAGACTTAAGATGTTTACATTCTGCTGTAGTAAATTAAATATAAAAAAAGTACGTATGGAATGGAAGTAGATGAGGGATAAAAGTCTACAAGTTGGATTCAGTGTATACTGCTCGGGTGATGAGTGCACCAAAATCTCACAAATCACCACTAAAGAATTTATGTAACCAAGCCGGGCGCGGTGGCTCAGGCCGGTAGTCCCAGCACTTTGGGAGGCTGAGGCGGGTAGAACACCTGTTTTCCACATTAATTCAATCAATATACTCCTCCTATCTGAAACCTGTTTCTCCTGCTTCGAGTTTGTAGACGTGTAGTGTTCATAGTTGCCTAAACTCCCTTTTCCCCATCAACTTCAACTGCTGGTGGCAAAAATGGCTGATACCACTTGCATTTTTGAGGTAGGAAAATCGGCAAGGTATTTTCATCCACTGAATGAAATGTAAATTACGTGTGCCGTACAGGGCAATGAAAAAATTCCGATAGCAGAGGATGGTTTCGATCCATCGACCTCTGGGTTATGGGCCCAGCACGCTTCCGCTGCGCCACTCTGCTATCTGAAGTCAAGTGTTCTCTTAACTGTTATAGAAGATCACCTAGTCGTTGTCCTGACTTCTTTAGTGCCACCTAATGTCCGATCAAAAATTCGTCATTACTATAGAACCAGTTCTTATTGGCTAGTTCCTGACACAGTAGGCGTTTTTTATTGGTTCATAAGCCCGGTTTGACAAAGTAAGCCAATAGGCATAAGCGATGGGGTAAGGCGGGAGCCAATCACGCCGGGTTTTATTGGGACACGCCGGCAAGACGCCTCTTCAGTTGTCTGCTCCTTAGAGGAAAGGGGCGGTTGGTGCGGCTTCCATTGTTCGTGTTTTAAGGCGCCATGAGGTGAGGGGGTCGAAGTGGTCGAAAGGTTTCAGGTATTCGACGGAAAACTTTGGGAACGTGGGTCGAAAGAAGTCGGAGTACCTAAAAGGACCATGTATCCGGGAGCTGGCCAAAAACCTGAGAACTCCTGGTCTAGGAGAGTGGGAGAGAGTGAGGCCGGTAGAGGCGGGGAAACTTGGGCCCGGGATGGGGTTGGGGCCCAGGAGTGGGGAGGCGGGTTCGACACCTCTCTCTGAAGGGTTGCGATGAGGGGGTGTCCTCAAGTCCCCGGAGGAGCTCCCCAGCTTCCCTCCGCCCCCGTCATCCGGGCTGAGAATGCTGGAGCGAGCCGCATTCATCCTCAGTGCGAAGGGCTTGACATATAGGACATGCCCGATAAATGTGTACGTTAATGAAGAAATGAGCAATCTTTAGCTTCCGAAGTATTAGGATTCGTGTGGCCCAGGATTATGGGTTATTTCGTGTAGGGCTCACTGTCTGAGCCCCATCATTACTTGATGGGGGGTTGTGATTAACTTATCCAGAATGAGGTGGTTATGGGGTATAACTGGGCACCATTTGGAATGGGGAGAAGTGTAAGTGTGAGTGGGGTCTCTTGCCTACCGTTGGGAGGTTCCGAGGGATGAAAGTAGCCAACTTAAAATGATGTGGCCGGTGGGTATTCCTTCAATGAGATCAAAATAAAATCTGCATTTCTAGGGGTGACAGAGGCCGTGGTCGTGGTGGGCGCTTTGGTTCCAGAGGAGGCCCAGGAGGAGGGTGAGTGCCAGCTTTTAGCATCTCTGCACTTAGTTGTTAGTTTCTGCTTGTCATCTAAATAGGAGTTTTGGAGTAGACTAATGTCACTTGGTTTTGTGAGAGCCAACTGTGGTCTTTTCCGCACTCCTGCTAAATGAATTTGGCCCCACTATGCTAAGAATGATTCTCTCCCTCCCCAGAGACTTTGTCACTCATTCTGAGGTCTGACATGTTTTCAAAATTGTTGGTGTGTTATTTAAATCTCACTTGATTCCTACATAGGGAATAATTTGGCTGTTTTTCATGTTTTAGGTTCAGGCCCTTTGTACCACATATCCCATTTGACTTCTATTTGGTGAGTACCTTGGGTTAATAATACACAATTTCTGGCCATTCTTGAAATGGAGCCTAGTATCTCCCAGTTAATGAAGTTAGATAGTGATTGAAGAGGGCAGGCACAGTGCCTCACACCTGTAATCTCAGCACTTTGGGAGGCCGAGGCGGATGGATTACCTGAGGGTCAGGAGTTTGAGACCATCCTGGCCAATATGGTGAAACCCCATCTCTACTAAAAATAAAAAAGTTGGTTGGGCATGTGCCTGTAATCCCAGCTACTTGGGAGGCTGAAGCAGGAGAATTGCTTGAACCTGGGAGGCGGAGGTTGTGTGAACTGAGATGGCACCACTACCAAAAAAAAAAAAAAATGGTGATTGAAATGGGGGGGAAAGTGATTTTTGAAAAGACTTGGGGTTTTGAGTCAACTGTGTGTTGCTTTACATACAGAAACAGTGTAAGCATGGTGGGGAGAATAATTCCTTGACTACTGTTGGCATTAAACATGATTATAATCTTTGTTCTGAACAAGTAATCGTATCTATGGCTTATTTGTTACTATAAAGATAGTGATAGCTTAAATTATGGCTATTCCAGCTTGTATCCTTGTTTGAACATTTTTTCTTTTTTTTTTTAAGATAGAGTCTCACCCTGTCACCCAGGCTGGAGTGCAGTGGTGCAATCTTGGCTCACTGCACTGAACCCGGGAGGCAGAGGAATCAGGACCTCTGCCTCCCAGGTTCAAACAGTTCTCCTGCCTCAGCCTCCCAAGTAGTTGGTATTATAGGCGCCTGCCACCATGCCCAGCTATTTTTTGGGTATCTAGTAGAGACGGGGCTTCACCATGTTGCCCAGGCTGATCTTGAACTCCTGACCTCAAGTGATCTGCCCACCTCGGCCTCCCAAGGTGCTGGGATTACAGGCGTGACCCACCATGCCTGGCCTTTGAACAAATTTTTTTTTTTTTTTTTTTGGGGCAGGGTCTTACCGTGTTGCCCAGGCTGGAGTGCAGTGGTGCGATCTTGGCTCACTGCAACCTCGCTTCCTGTGTTCAAGGGATTCTCCCACCTCAGCTGGGATTACAGGCGTGAGCCACCATGCCCAGCTAATTGAACAAATTAAGGAGTACAAACAAGTGTAGAATTTTCTATTTGTAACCTTTTTCTGTCATAGTAATAGAAAAAACAATCTCTCTTGTATATTATTTTCGGCAAATAGAATGTAGTTGTTTACTTCTGGTTTAGTGTGAAATGGCCTTCCCCCGGGTCAAGCCAGCACCTGATGAAACTTCCTTTAGTGAGGCCTTGCTGAAGAGGAATCAGGACCTGGCTCCTAATTCTGCTGAACAGGTATGTTCTTTTGGCTGTCTTCCAGAAATGTCTCTAAAGCAGGTAAAAGTATTGGTAAAGAGTAACTGTTGGTAAGGTTAAGAATGGTGTTAACAGAGCCTGAAATCCACAGAGGGTTTAATTGTTCTCCTTATTTCTCATTGTGGGTGGAGATAGCCAGGTGGATATATAAACAAATTACATATGCATTATTATTTTTATTGGGGACAAAGAGTTGTTCTCTTTCCATATATTCAAGGCCAGAATGAAGTGTTTTTAAAGCCCTAGGTCAGTATTGAGTCAGCTTGTATGGAAGGGATTAGGAGAAAATACTCAAACTCTGAGAAGTTGCTTCTAATTTTTCATCTTCGAGTATTGTTTCATGCTGTTTTTCAGGCATCTATCCTTTCGCTGGTGACAAAAATAAACAATGTGATTGATAATCTGATTGTGGCTCCAGGGACATTTGAAGTGGTGAGTTTTTGATGATTTAGTTTTAGGAAAGGGCACCTTTGGTAGTGTGGAAATTTCCTTGGCTCCTGACTTTTAATTTTCAGTTGTCTATTATCCAAAGCCAAGCTTAAAATGAGAACGTACAGTGGGATTTCTTTGTACTACTGATCTTGGGGACAAGACTCGTATCATTGTTATGCTAGCTGTGATGTATCGGGCTTTCATGTGGTGGTTCTGGGGGTGATTTCACCTCTGCTACTTCCTAATTTGGGTAACAGGTGGCTATGTTGTAACAGTTCTGAGAGGACTTAGGCACCTTTTTTTCTTCTAAATTGTTTTTCCCCCGAAATCCTTTTTCCAATAGCAAATTGAAGAAGTTCGACAGGTGGGATCCTATAAAAAGGGGACAATGACTACAGGACACAATGTGGCTGACCTGGTGGTGATACTTAAGATCCTGCCAACATGTGAGTGTGCCTGTTTCTGGTCATGGGAACAGAACATAGCACTTGGATTAGGGGCTTAGGGATCTTTTTTTGTTTTGAGACAGATTCTCACTCTGTTGGCCGGGCTGGAGTGCAGTGGTGCCATTGTGGCTCACTGCAGCCTTGACCTCCACTACAGCAAGTGATCTTCCTGCCTTAGCCTCCTGAGTAGCTGGGACTACAGATGTGTGCCACCACACCCAGCTAATTTTTTTATTTTTTGTAGGTACAGGGTTTCACCACGTTGCCCCGACTGGTCTCAAACTCCTGAGCTCAAGCAATCTGCCCACCTCAGCCTCCCAAAGTGCTGGGATTGCAGGCGTGAGCCACTGTGCCCAGCCCTTAGGGATCTTGAAAGCTCAAATTTCTTGTGCAAAAGGATGTTTATTTATTTATTTATTTTTTTGAGACGGAGTCTCGCTCTGTCGCCCAGGCTGGAGTGCAGTGGCCGGATCTCAGCTCACTGCAAGCTCCGCCTCCCGGGTTCACGCCATTCTCCTGCCTCAGCCTCCCGAGTAGCTGGGACTACAGGCACCCGCCACCTCGCCCGGCTAGTTTTTGTATTTTTTTAGTAGAGATGGGGTTTCACCGTGTTAGCCAGGATGGTCTCGATCTCCTGACCTCGTGATCTGCCCGTCTCAGCCTCCCAAAGTGCTGGGATTACAGGCTTGAGCCACCGCGCCTGGCCTCACGAAAGGATGTTTATAAGACAAATGTTTTTTGTTTTTGTTTTTGTTTTTGAGACAGATCTTGCTCTGTTGCCCTGGCTGGAGTGCAATGGCGTGATCTTGGTTCACTGCAACCTCCCCTCCTGGGTTCTAGCTGTTCTGCCTTGGCCTTCCGAGTAGCTGGGATTACAAGTATGTGCCACCACTCCCGGCTAATTTTTCTATTTGTAGTAGAGACGGGGTTTCACCATGTTGGCCAGTCTGGTCTCAAACTTCTGACCTCAGGTGATCCGCCTGCCTTGGCCTCCCAAAGTGCTGGGATTACAGGCGTGAGCCACCGCACCCTGCCTGACAAATGTTTTTTAATGGGTGATAAGGGACAAACGCTGAAGCGTGTGTGTCTGAAAGAATGTATAGCAGGTTACTGTAGAGCCATGTTTCTCAATGTCACCCAGGGGATATCTGGCAGTATCTGGAGGTACTATTGATTGTTAAAACAAGGGGGTGCTACTGGCATCAAAAAACGGTGGAAGCCAGGTGTGGTGGCTGTATTCCCAGCACTTTGGGGAGGCTGAGGCAAGAGGATCACTTGACCCCAGGAGATTGACCAGCCTGTGTAACATAGAGAGACCCTGTAGCTGCAAAAAGAAAAAAATTAGCTGGGCATGGTGGTGCATGTTTTGGTCCCAGCTACTCAGAAGCCTGAGGTGGGGCCGGGTGCAGTGGCTCATGCCTGTAATCCCAACACTTTGGGAGGCCGAGGCCTGGAGTTCAAGACCAGCCTGGCCAACATGGCAAAATCCCGTCTCTACCAAAAATATAAAAATTAGCCAGGCGTGATGGTGGGCGTCTGTAATCCCTGCTACTTGGGAGGCTGAAGCAGGAGAGTTGCTTGAACCTGGGAGGCAGAGGTTGGAGTTAGCAGAGATAGTACCAGTGCACTTCAGCTTGGGTGACAAGAGTGAGGCCCTGTCCCAAAAAAAACAAAGAAAAAAAAGCGGCATCCTGAGGTGAGAGGATTGCTTGAGCCCGGGAGACTGAGGCTGCAGTGAGCTGTGATTGTGCCACTGCACTGCAGCCTGGGTGACAGAGTGACACCCTTTCTCAAAAAAAGAAAAAGGATAGAGGCCATGGATGCTGTTAAAACATCCTACATCCCCATCACCCCAAAGATTTATCTAGCCCAAAATGTTTTTAGTGCCACTGACCTAAAAAACCTTGCTGTAGAAAGAGGATATGAGTACAGGAGGGGTCCTGTTGCCTGAGTCTTGCAATTTTTCTGTCCAGGCCTTGGCTTCCTCTTATAAAAGTATTTATTCTATTACTTACCCTTGCTTCAGCCTTGGATATGGGACAGAAATGAGAATGCAAAGTAGCTTAGAGATATATAGAAAGTCTAGATAAATAAATTATTACAACATTATGCCCTTTTCTGTCAATTAGTGGAAGCTGTTGCTGCCCTGGGGAACAAAGTTGTGGAAAGCCTAAGAGCACAGGATCCTTCTGAAGGTTTGCATTTGTTGCTGATTATGTATTTAGTAGCCACAGGAACCAGGTCTTGTAATTGTAAGTACACTTTCAACAAAATCAGGTCAGACCAGATGGAAGAGTAAATGCAGAGTTTTATGTTGTGGGAGTTTTTGGCAGGGGCTTCAGGTGTTCAAGGTGTTCAAGGGAGATCTGTTTGATCTCCCTTCTAAAGCTCTGTATTCTAAATTCTCATTCTGGACTTTGTGCTGTTTTTAAAAATCCACCTGTTCCCCCGCACCCTGGATTTAACTTTGGTCATCTAATGGAAATGTGAGTTACAGTTTTTGTTCATTCTGTTTTTTCAGTTTTAACCATGCTGACCAACGAAACTGGCTTTGAAATCAGTTCTTCTGATGCTACAGTGAAGATTCTCATTACAACAGTGCCACCCAATCTTCGAAAACTGGACCCAGAACTCCATTGTTAGTTCTTTTTTTTTCCATTGCTGGAAAATTTAGGGGATATTCAAAACATGGTATTGTTGCTGTTTAGTTTATTTAGCTTGTTGCTATTCCACATGCAGCTTTCTGGGAATTGAAGCACTTAGGTTTATTCTGAGCTTTGCTCTCTCCCTCTGTAATTTGGAAATAGTTTTTTTATCAGCTTGCCAGTGGAATTTTCAGATGGGGTGACCAAGAAAGCATATGGAGGACTTAAAAAGGACCGAAAAAATATTTATGGCAGGGGATAGGCTTTTGGAGAAAATCATCGTTCTTGCCTGCTTCTAGTGATTTTTAGACAAGTGATTTGCTGATATGAGAAACACGGGGTGGCTTAAAGAATTGCAAAGTTGGTCAGGCGCAGTGGCTCACGCCTGTAATTCCAGCACTTTGGGAGGCCGAGGCAGGCAGATCACCTGAGGTCAGGAGTTGGAGACCATCCTGGCCAACATGGTGAAACCCCGTCTCTACTAAAATACAAAAATTAGTGGGGCATGAGTAGCTGTAATTCCAGCTACTCAGGAGGCTGAGGCAGGAGAATCACTTGAACCCCGGAGGCGGAGGTTGCAGTGAGCTGAGATCGCGCCACTGCACTCCAGCCTAGACTGTAGCAGTGGTAATGAGTAGCTTGTTTAATGAAAATGTTTCATCCTGGCCTATCATGCTTGTCTTTTTAGTGGATATCAAGGTATTGCAGAGTGCCTTAGCAGCCATCCGACATGCCCGCTGGTTCGAGGAAAATGCTTCTCAGTCCACGTGAGTCCCTCCCTGACCATTTGGATTAAGATAAACTTTTTAACTGCAGTGAATAGCAGGATACCCCCATACTTCCTCTGACAGAACTATTTTGCCTGTGACTTTTTTTCTGGATTTTTATTTTTACCTTAAGCAAGTTAAGATTTAGAGAAAGCAGAGAACGTATAGTTCTGTAAACAGCAGAGTCAGCTTCAATTCTACCTTAGGCGTGGAAATACATGATGGTATTGATTTTAATGTTTGGGTCACTATTACTTTCAGAGTTAAAGTTCTCATCAGACTACTGAAGGACTTGAGGATTCGTTTTCCTGGCTTTGAGCCCCTCACACCCTGGATCCTTGACCTACTAGTAAGTAAAGATGGACAATTGGAGTTCCTCATCATCCTTATTTACTAGTAGTAGTAGTAGTAACTCTGAAATTCACCAGAGTCTGAAATTTGGTGAAACTTAAAAGAAATTTTATTGGTAGACAAGTAATCCAATAAAAATTCAACATTTACATGACTCAGAGACATTTGTTTAAAAAAAAAGAAAAAATTCAGGTTTTTTTTTTTTTTTGTATATTCAATTAAATGAGTAGTTACTGAGTTATAGTGTCCTGTTTTCTTCTCATGACTGCTACCATTTCATCATGGTAGTAGAGAGAAATGAGTGAGCAGCCATTTCAGAATTGCTTCTGAACAACATGAAAATTTTGGCTAGGCTTAGACCTTAATAACCAGTTTTCCTCGTGATGATTTAAGGTTTTAGTTTGATGCCTGTAATCCCAGCACTTTGGGAGGCTGAGGCCAGAGGATCACTTGAAGCCAGGAGTTTGAGACCAGCCTGGGCAAAATAGTGAGACTGTCTCTACCAGGAAAAAAAAAAAAAAATATATATATATATATATATATCCAGTTGTAGTGGCTTGTACTTATAGTCCTAGCTTCTCAGGAGGCTGAGGCAGGAGGGTTGCTTGAGCCCAGGAGTTTGAGGTTACAGTGAACTATGATTGTGCCACTGCACTCCAGCCTGGGTGACAAAGTGAGGCTACAGTTCTAGTTATCAGAATTGCCATTTTGATGGTGCATCTACTGGATTTATTATTTTCCAGGGCCATTATGCTGTGATGAACAACCCCACCAGACAGCCTTTGGCCCTAAACGTTGCATACAGGTACAGCATGCTTCTTTGGGTTTAGGGTTGGTTTTAAGCTATTTTGTGCATTCTTTTAATACCTCATACTTCCCTGTGTTCTAGACGCTGCTTGCAGATTCTGGCTGCAGGACTGTTCCTGCCAGGTTCAGTGGGTATCACTGACCCCTGTGAGAGTGGCAACTTCAGAGTACACACAGTCATGACCCTAGAACAGCAGGTATTGGGACAGATATGAACTGAGTTGTTTTGCCCCACTCTTGAATACTCCTAGTCAGCTGGCGAAGTGGAATATGGTGTTTAGGGGTCAGGAATTGGGGGATTCTGAAATACTTTGGTCCTGAGATTTAAAAAATTGTCTTAATCTCTGTTTTCACAAGGGTATTACTCAAAGTCTTTTGATTTTCCTTGCTAACGTACTCTCACTTTGCTCTCCTTCAGGACATGGTCTGTTACACAGCTCAGACTCTCGTCCGAATCCTCTCACATGGTGGCTTTAGGAAGATCCTTGGCCAGGAGGGTGATGCCAGCTGTGAGTGACTACTGTGGGTCAGGGGTTTTGTATTGTAATCTGGTCTACAAAGAAGCTGTACACTATTTAAATGTCTTTAATATTTCCACAGTGTAAATAATGTCTTTTATGCTGGGCTACTTGTCTAAATCACCTTTTTCTCTTTCCTAGATCTTGCTTCTGAAATATCTACCTGGGATGGAGTGATAGTAACACCTTCAGAAAAGGCTTATGAGAAGCCACCAGAGAAGAAGGAAGGAGAGGAAGAAGAGGAGAATACAGAAGAACCACCTCAAGGAGAGGAAGAAGAAAGCATGGAAACTCAGGAGTGATGTTCCCTTCACTCCTTTTCCTACCCGAGGGGGAAGACTGGAGCCTAAGCTCCCTGCTACTGGGCTTTACATGGTGACAGACATTTCCGTGGGATAGGGAAGATAGCAGGAAGAAAAGTAAACTCCACAGAAGTGTCATTCCACTGGGTTTTGATATTGGCTTTGCTGCCAGTCTCCCATTTGTGACCTATGCCATCCATCTATAATGAAGGAGGATACCGACATTTCTTCCTAATATTCTAGAATCCCCAACTCCTGAAAACCCCTCTCTCAATTAATACTTTGCTGTTGAAATGTTGTGAAATGTTAAGTGTCTGGAATTTTTTTTTTTCTAAGAAAAACTATTAAAGTACTTCCTAGTAGGGCTCTTGGCCTTTTTGGTTGGTTTTTTGGGTTTGTTTTTTTGCATGTAGCAACCTTTTTTTGCTTCTTTTTGCTTTGTATACTCTTGCGTTGAAAATAGTATTTGAGTCTTTTAATTATAAATACTCAGATCACAATTTGAAGCTGTCTTTGAATTAAAGTACAAACTCCTAGAACCTTTCCATATACCAGAGTAAACTAGAATACCGTTTTAAGTATTTATTGAATAAAATGATTCTATCAACACTGCTACTGTATTGAAGCCAGTGCAATAAAAAACTGGGGGGACAGAGGTCATTCACTTTGACTTTGCCTGCCCCTCCAAATCCCCATTGTAAACAGGAAAATGAGAAGTCACAGGTAGAGGACATGCTGCCCAGGCCCATGTAACTAGGCATGTAACAAAGGAAGCCCCTCTGGTTAACTAGGCCTGAAGAAGGTAAGCCTCAAGTATGCAGGTTAACAAAAAGTAGAGGCCTCTGCTCATTTGTGAAAGGAAGCAAGAGCCATAATTAACGTAAGTCCTTTGGGAACCTCATTCTGGCTGTGGGTAGCTTTCCTGGGGCCCCTACATAAATGAGTAAGACAAAGTGCTTCAAACAACCCATACAGCTGCCTTTTTAAATGTCTGAAGGTCTAGGGACTGTCTCCTAGGATCTTTGCATGTCTGTCGAAACAAGGCAGCTAGGAACAGTACTTGCGCTACTGAGTCCATAGGCTCATCTGTTATTTGCTTGGGGAGCCAGGGGGGTAAATTCCCGAATCCAGCATTGCTCTCCTGCGGGCTGTTTCCTTGGCAACACTGTGGTTTAGCCGCCTCAGTCTTTCCTGCAAGACAAGGGAGGTTTGGAATCTTAACCACTGTGAAAGGCTTTAGAGTATAAGTGAACTAGGTGCTGAAAAATATCGGGCTTGGTCTACCTCAAAGTCAGTCTTCTAAAGCATATATAAGAATGTAGGTGGGGCATGGTGGCTCACCTGTAATCCCAACACTTTGGGAGGCTGAGGCGGGTGGATTACCTAAGGTCAGGAGTTCAAGACCAGCCTGACCAACATGGTAAAACCTGTCTCTACTAAAAATACAAAAAAATTAGCTGGGCATGGTGGCGGGTGCTTGTAATCTAAGGCAGGAGAATCGCATGAAACTGGGAGGTGGAGGTTGCAGTGAGTTGAGATCGCGCCACTGGCCACTGCACTCCAGCCTGGGTGACAGGGAGAACTCCGTCTCAAAAAAAAAAATAGTCCAGGCATGGCGCTCATGTCTATCCCACCACTTTAGGAGGAAGTGGCAGGAAGATCACTTGAGCCCAGGAGTTCGAAAACAGCCTGGGCACCATAGTAAGATTCTTTTTTTTTTTTTTTTTGATACGGAGTTTTGCTCTTGTTGCCCAGGCTGAAGTACAATGGTGCGATCTCAGCTCACCACAACCTCCGTCCCCCATGTTCAAGTGATTCTCCTGCCTCAGCCTCCCTGGTTGCTGGGATTACAGGCATGTGCTACCACACCCAGCTAATTTTGTATTTTCAGTAGAGACAGTGTTTCTCCATGTTGGTCAGGCTGGTCTCAAACTCCCGACCACAGGTGATCTGCCCGCCTCGGCCTCCCAAAGTGCTGGGATCATAGGCATGAGCCACCTCACCTGGCCAATCCTGTCTTTTTATTAAAAAAAAAAGAAAAAAGGCCAGGCAGGCCGGGTTCAGTGGCTCGCACCTGTAATCCCAGAGTTTTGGGAGGCCCAGGCAGGTGGATCACTTGTGTGCAGGAGTTTCAGACCGGCCTGGGTAACATGGTGAAACCCTGTTTCTAGAAAAAAATACAAAAATTAGCTGGACATGGGGGTGCATGCCTGTAGTCCCAACTACTTGGGAGGCTGAGGTGGGTGGATGGCTTGAACCTGGGAGGTAGAGGCTGCAGTGAGCCGTGATCATATCACTGCACTCCATCCTGGGTGACAGACCTTGTCTCATAAAAATAAATAGCCAGGTGTGGCGGCTCACTCCTGTAGTCCCAGCACTTCGGGTGGCCGAGGTGGAAAGCTCACTTGAGCCCAGGAGTTCCAGACCAGCCTGGGCAACATGGCAAAACCCTACCTACTTCTAGAAAAAAATACAAAAATTAGCTGGGCGTTGTGGTGCACGCTTGTAGTCCTAGCTACTTAGGAGGCTGAGGCAGAATTGCTTGAGCCCAGGAGGCAGAGGTTGCAGTGAGCTGAGATTGAGCCACTGCACTCCAGCCTGGGTGACAAAGGGAGATCATCACACACACACACACACAAAAGAATGTAAATGGCAGCAACTGAATACTGAGAATAAGACAAATTCTCCTAGGTATTTTCCAAGTACTGAGAGAAGAGAATTTCCTTTTCGCTGTTTTAAAATTACAGCGGCTTTCACTGTGTTGAGGACTTACAAAAAAGGGCAAAGAATCACAGGTATGATATTCTTTTACCTGAGCATTCTGTAGAATGTTGTTGACCAAGACAACGCGTCGCCGGGCGTTAAGTAGCTTCTTAACATACGGGTCAAGATCCAGGGCCACCTTCTGATCCTCATTGATGCGGCACAGTTCTGGGGATGCAAGGTGCAGCTAAGATCTAATGGCTCATCTCTTGTTCTGAGGGAAAGCAGGCTGGTAACGGGAGGGAAAACACTTGCACCCAAACGGGCCACAGCCATTAAGAGATTTAAGACATCCCTGAAAGGAGGAGTCCTTTGGCAGCCCTGATGCCCTGGAAGCAAGCGATAGAAACCCAGCCCAGGAGTTGGCAAAAACCTAAGGTCCTGAAAGTGGGCTGAAGGGTTCCGGGTACACAGGGATGCTCACTCACCTGTGGCTAGGTTGTCAATTTGTTCCCGGAGCTCTACCTGGCTCTCTCTGCAAAGAGGTACAAGGCCTACACGGTCAGACAGTTACCGGAGCTCAGGAAACGAACTCCCCCTACGTATTTACCAAGTACTCAAAGAAGCCAGCCTCCGCTGAATCCTCCACCTGCGGCCTTCCGCCTGTCCTCCCCGCCTCGAATCAGTTTCCTAAATTTATGCCCACTCCCAGCTAGAACACTTTCTTGGCCCCGCCCCTACAAAGCCAGAGAGACAGGTCCCGCCCCCAACTTCCCTCCCGGGCACCTGACGGCGTGCACGTGAGAATCCAGCTGCTGCACAGCGGGTCGCAGGAACTCCAGCAGCCCTTCGGCGAAGAGGTCGCGGCCTGTGGGCCCCGCCACCGGTGTCCCTGCCCCCGACACAGCGGCGGAACCAGGCCCCGCCATCACGAACTGTCCTGACGCTCGGAAACTGCCGCGAGGGCCGCCGGGAACCGGAGCCGCGCCGTACTGCCCCGCGAGGGGGCGTCCGGAAAATGCTGTCTCCACCGAGGCACTGGGGTTTCTGGGAAATGGAGTCTGGAGCGAGCCGGGCGGGGAGGAGGGCCAGGCCCTAGGAGTAGAGGCCTTGTGGCTGGTCTTGAAAATCCTCAAAGGTCAGGTTGTAGAAAGGAACCAGTTTTTGGTGTGGATACTTTTTGTTTTCTCCAAAGGTGAAAATAAACACGAATAACTTCAGTTGTCCATAGCCTTCCTATGTTAACTTTATGAGATAGTCGGGCGTGGTGGCGGGTGCCTGTAATCCCAGCTACTTGGGAGGCTGAGACAGGAGAACCGCTTGAACCCCGGAGGCAGAGGTTGCAGTGAGCCGAGATCGCGCCACTGCACTCCAGTCTGGGCGACAGAGAGACTCCACCTCAAAAAAAAAAAAAAAAAAAAAAAAAAAAACCAAACGAAAACAAACCAAAAACAAAAAAACTTTATGAGAAAACCACATTATATTCATAATAATGTTTTCTGTTTCTAAAGAGTTTTTTGTGGTTGGTTGTTTTTAAGACAGGGTCTCTCTCTGTCGCCTAGGCTGAAGTGCAGTGTCACGATCTTGGCTCACTGTGGCCTTCACCTCCAGGGGTCAAGAGGTCCTCCTGCTTCAGCCTTCCAAGTAGCAGGGACCAGAAGTGTTAGCCACCATGCCTGATTAATTTTTTATTTTCTGTAGAGAGGAGATCTCACTATGTTTGGTGCCCAGACTAGTCTGGAACTCCTGGGCTCAGGTGGTCCTCCCACCTCAGCCTCCAAAAGTGTTGGGATTACAGACATAAGCCACCACGCCTGGTCTATTTCTAAAGAGTATATTTTTAATGGCATTAAATATGTACAAAACTGCATGTATCCAAATTTCATTCCTTTTTAAGGTTGAATAATATAAACATGCAGGCCGGGCATGGTGGCTCACTCCTGTAATCCCAGCACTTTGGGAGGCTGAGGCAGGTGGATCACCTGAGCCCAGGAGTTTGAGATCAGTCTGGGCAACAAACCTAGTGAGACCCTGTCTCTACAGGAAATAAAAAATTAGCCAGGCATGGTGGCTCACAGCCGTGGTCCCCGCTACTTGGGAGGCTGAAGTAGGAGGACCTTGAGCCCAGGAAGTCGAGGCTACAGTGAGCCAAGATCGTGGCATTGCATGCACTTCAGCCTGGGTGACAGGGTGAGACCCTGTCTCAAAAAATAAAAATAAATTTTAAAGTTTCCTTAGTTCACTTCTTTTTCCTTTCATTTTTAGAGACAAGTACTCACTCTGTTGCTGAAGCTGGAGTGCAGTGATGCTATCATAGCTTACTGTAACCTCAAACTTCTAGGCTGAAGCCATCCTCCTGCCTCAGCCTCCTAAGTAACTGGGACTACAGTCACCTGCCCCCACGCTTGGCTAATTTTTAAAATTTTTTGGTAGAGACAGGGTCTCCCTATGTTGCCCAGGCTGTTCTCGAACTCCTGGCCTCAAGACAACCTTCCATGGTTTTCTTTTTCCCTGAGGCTTATGAAGACAATGATTCCTTTTGGATTCGGTGTGGTTTTTCATGGCTTTCCAGATAATTTACATCTGTCTCCTAGGCTCTAATGTGTTCCAGTGGCTCCCAATTCCCTAGGCCATGGGGAAGGATGTATGTGCAGAAATGCTTCTGGAGGACAGGCAAAGGCATCCATAGTGATAAATAGGCACCAGAATGTTCAACCTCAAGCTTCATCTTCAGTAATAAAGGAAGATAAGGCATTTGAATCACTGTGAGATTTGGTGGTCAGCAGCTCTAAACCTGAGACCCCCAACTATGATAACTTTTTTTTTAAATTTTCTGTAGAGATGAGGCCTCTCTGTTGTGCCCAGGCTGGTTTTGAACTCCTGGATCAAGCGGTCCTCCCACCTCAG